CTTATTTGTCTTATCCTTCCAGATCATGGTCCAGATTTGAGGAGAATTAGACTAGGAACTCAGGCAACAGCTTGGTGAAGATCCTACAGAAGGAGGCTGTTTACTAGTTCATTCTCTGACTCTCATAGTGGCTCATGGTTAGACACACACACACACACACACACACACACACACACACGACCATGTGCCCAATGAATGATGCTGCCTGGACTGCTGGACCCTCCTACATCAATCGATAAGCTAAATCTCCATAGACATACCCACAGGCCAACCTGATCTAGTCGTTCCACAACTGAGGGCTTCTCTCACATGGTTGACAGCTAAGGCTGACCAGAGTGTCCCTGGACTGCAGCTTCTGCAGCCCCAAGGGCCAGGTTGAAGGGGCTGTGCTGCTGTTGATGGTCAGCCCTCCAAGGAGCCCTGACAAGCCCAGCGATTCCCACTCTCTCTTGCTCATCACAGAGGGTAGAGCGTCTTCCCAGAAAGGGGTCTGAAAGCTGTGCTGTGCCAGGGGGGCTCTCTGCTCTGCCTAGCCGCTTCCCCAGCCCTCCTGCTGCTAGCTCCAGAGTAGCCACGATCCAGGTGTGGCCCATGTTCCCATGCAGGTCACTAGTTTTGGCACGGGGACAGACTAGCCTCCCACGGATGGGGCCGGGCCTTCTTGTTCATTGCCTGAGGTGTGTCAAGTCGGCCCTCTGGCACGCTGGCTTCCGGAATGTTTTTCTCAGCCAGCCAGCCAGGCATCCAAGCCAGGCCTTCGTGGTGTCCTGGGCAGAGCTGAGGTGTCCCTGGAGCTGAGACCACGACCTGCCTCACGTCCAGAACTGCAGGCCAGTCGAGCAGCTGGTAGGGTCTGGAGCACACAGCGTGGAGGTGCCACCGCCACCTCACACGTCCCTGTCTTGTACCTCAGATGGGGGAGTGGATGGTCCGTGGCATTGTTCTGCAGACCTGTTCGGGCTGTGATCTGGGACTGACAATGGGGGGTAGAGCGTGTTCTGTTCCTTAAGACCTGGGACCAGCGTGGTTGGCGTGAAGACCTAAGCCTGGTTGAAGAAGCCCCACACTGGCTGTCAGGAGCCCCTCTGGGTCTCCCCATTGTACCAGGCTCTCCCCCATGTCCTCCCTAGGCTGGTAACCACAGCACTCATAGACAAGGAACTTTGCCAAGAGGAAAGGGCCTTCAGCCTAGTTCCCGGCTGGACTTGGCCTGAGGCAGCAGCCCTGGCCTGGGCCCAAGCTGAACTGGGCTCCCAGGCTGCCATTGCACCAGCCCTGTCTGGGGTTGGCTCCTGGTCAGCAGGCAGAGCTTGGAAGGTGACTGCCAGGTCTGCCCAGGGCTCTGCTTGCCTGGCCCAGTGCCACCACCCCGGTTCTCAAAGGTGTAGGGGACAATAGGGACACAGATCCCTGGTCCTGAGGGGTTTTTTTGTTTTTTTTTTCTTTCGGATCCCCTAGAAGCCAGGTGCCTATCTACCCGCCGACAGTTGCTGCCCGCCACGAGGCCGTCCACCTGGCATGGCCTACGGGATCTCTCTCAGGCTCCCCACCAGGGCCAGCATGGCGAGAGAAACCCACTCTTTCAAAGTCAGAGTCACCGTCACTATCGCGCGTGGCCCATGTTGCGTCTGCCTGGGCCATCCCGAACTGTGGAAGGGAATGAAGTCCCCTGAGCCCGTCAGTGTTCCGGGAAGTTGGCCACCCCATAGAAACACTCACGGCACTGACCTCAGAGCCAGGAATCTCTGCTGCCTTTACTGTTTGGGCAGGAGATGTGGCCTGTGTGGGGAGGATGCTGTCTGTGCTTGCTCGGCCCTTTACTTCTCAGCAGGAAAGGGAGGAAGGGAGTGAAGAGCCCCCAGCTCCAAGAACAGTTAGAAACCCACAGGAGGTGACCTGTCAGAGGGTCCAGAGAGGAAGGGCCATGACCTGCCCCAACCCCCCAATCTCACAGGCCCTGCAGGCAGCAGATCCTGCTCTAATGGGCTTAGTGGAAGTGGCTATAAAGGAGCACCCCTAAAAGACCCCCAAGTCAGAAAACAGGCCAGTGTAGGGTGACGAGGGCCCCGGTCTGAAAGAGCTTTGACACAGGACTGCCAACCTCTCACTGAGACAGCCCCTGCCCTTATGTCGCTAGGGTAGGGGACTGTCCCTCAGTCTCCAGTCAGAAGGACTCTCTGCTGGGACAGTATTGGAGCCGAGAGTCAACTGCAGACCCTCTCAGGGTCAGGGTCGATCTCCTAGGTTGAAGCATGCTGGCCTGACTTGGGTGCCCAGTGCTCAGACACCCCCGCAAGGCTGTGAGCCATTTACCTAGGTATCCAGACCCAGGACTGGTCCCTCTCTCTGCCAGGAGACCCGAGGGAGCTGTTGCCATGGGCCCTGAGGGACACTGAGCTGAGGGTCAGTGCCACCTTGTCCAGTGTGGTAGGAGAGAACTCAAGGTACACCATTCCCAAGATCCCAGAGAAATTGCTTTTGCAGACCCAGCTTTTGGACGCCACCGCTTCCCACGTCCATGGGAGGAAAGGGTGGGCGGTGCTTCCCCAGGAGGGAGTGGGGTGGGAGGAGTAGAAAGGCCTGGGGGACCTGGGGCCAGGCTAGGCGGGGCAGAGAGTTGCAGCTGCAGCAGCCACACTCAGTCCACAAGCATGGCCCCCCACAGTCCCTGGAGCAGGGCAAGGAGGCCAGCACTTCCCTTCCCAGCCTGGAGTCTCCTCCCCTGGCGTGGACACGCCTGTGGTCTGGACTGGGTCCCCTGGCAATCCCAGCCATGTGGTCTTGTCCGGGAAGTCCCTAGCTCTTGGGCACCTTTGACATGTTTTTCGCGGGCCTGGCCAAAGCAGAGGACCCCTTTTAGGTCACAGACCCTTCCTCTGGCCGCGTCCTGGCCACCGTGCACCGTCCCTTCCCGTCAGGAAGCGAAGAAGCCTCTTTCCAACCACTAGGGCTGGAAGCTAGTAGAAAGCAGTCTAGATGCCAGGGTCCCACGGGGGCAGTCCCCTCCTCTAGCCTGACTGCTTCTCTGCTGAGTCACCCTGTGTTTGGGAAGTTCCCAGGGCCAACCCAGGCGAGATGAGGCATCACCAATTCACCAAATTCCCTTGCCTCCTGGGCGGGAAGCTACTTCTGTGACTAACCTTGGGCCGGCCAGGCTCCGCCTAACCGCTCTCCTCTCCACCCTGGTATGACCATGGCCTAGGCTTCCTGCCCAGGGACAGAGATGGCGAGGTACCAGGGCACCATGCTGGGGTAAAGGGCCAGCAGTGCAGCCCAGACCACCCACTGAGAGCCCTGTGTGCAGAGACTTTCAGTGCACGTATGTTGTGTGCGGACAAGAGCTGGTAGCCATGACAACCAGGGAGACTTACTTGGCCTGGCCCTGACTGCTGTACTCTGGCAAAGAGGGTGCAGAGACCATGACAGCCACCAGTGGAGGATGTCGCAGGCTAGTGGGCAGGAGAAGAGGGCACACAGGCCACTGACGGATATGCTGGCCCAGCCCACGAAACCTGGGACTCTCAGTGTGTGAGCCTCAAATGACTGACTATCTTCTGCTCAATGGCAGCTCCATCAGGGCCTGCTCCCCAGCAACCCAGAGGATCTACAGAGCTACTCCGTGTAGTTCTGCGTCTCTTTCCTGCCTGGCATGTCTGTCTTCCTTCCTCATCTGGCACTGCCCCTCATTCCCCCGACCTGGTCTGACTGGTAGCTAAGTGGCCTGGGGTAAAGGAGAAAGGCCCATTTCTTCCACACCACCCAGAAAGGTCAGGGACCTCTACTCCTACAGCAGCAGCCTACAGCCTCTGACTGAGGCCATGCTGGTTCTGGGTGCATCACCTGAGCGCCCCCTTGGTGAGGCATGGGCACAGCTTGCTGACAAGTCCATTGGCATCAGAGAGGCCTTCAGGTGGCATTGCTGTGGCCTGGAGCTGTGCTAATGAGAAGGCCCGTGGGGAACTTGTCCACCGTGGGTCCTAAATGTGCTTTTGGCATTGTACTGAGGACCTAGTAGGTGGTGATGGTGTTTGTAGAGGGTGGGATGATTGTCACGGTGGCGGTGGCAGTAATGTAATTAACTGGTGGTGATGTGGTTGTCACGGTGGCGGTGACTAGGTGATACAGTTGTTGGTGGCAGTGGTGGTGGTAATGCAGCTGTTCCTGGTTGGTGATACGGTTGTTAGTGGTGATAGGGATGGTGATCGCGGTCGTGATCTGTTTCGGTGATGCGGGTGGTGCTGATGCTAAGGACATGGTGGTCACCAAATTACATGGACAGTAATGGTGGTGGGGACGGGGTGGCGGTAGTGGTACGGAGGTGATGCAGGTGGTGGTGGTTGATGGCGGTGTGAATTTTGGTGGTGTTAATGTGGGGTGATATGAGTGGTGGTGGTGGTAATGTGGGGTAGTAGTGTTGGTTACCAATGGTGATGGTGTGGTCGGTGATGGTGGTGTGGTCGGTGGTGATGGTGGTGGTGATACTGTGGTCAGTGGTGGTGGTGGGTGGTGTGGTCAGTGGTGGTGGTGGGTGGTGTGGTTGGTGGTGATGGTGGTGGTGGGCGGTGTGGTCGGTGGTGGTGGTGGGTGGTGTGGTCAGTGGTGGTGTGGATGGTAGGGGTAGCTGTGTGGTCGGTGGTGTGGATGGTGGTAGTAGGGGTGGTGGTGCGGTTGGTGGTAGTGTGGTCAGTGGTGATAGTGTGGTTGATGATGGCGTGGGTGGTGTTGGTGGTGTTGGTGGTGGTGTTGATGGTGTGGATGGTGGTGGTGCAGATGAGGTGCTAATGTGGTTTTGAAGTAGGAGGGTTTATTCCTAAGACACCAGAGGCTCCACACACTGGGTGTGATTTCAGGCACTTGTGGGCAGGGCAGCTTCACCTGCCGTGGGGTTCTGTGGGAGCGAGGTACCTGCGAGGCACCCTGAAGGAGGGCTTTGGGGCATGGGCGCTGCTTATGCGGAGCCATGGGGGTACCGCAGACTCACCCTTGTCCTGTGTCCACAGCCAGCAGCCGTCTGATGGGAAATCCCCCAGCCTCCTCTTTTATGGGCAGCTTCCTCACCAGCAGCCTGGGATCCACAGCTTCTGCACACCCCAGTGGCCCTGCGTCCTCTCCCTCTGAGCCAGCCTACCGAGGATCCCACCCCGCCACCTCCCAGATCTGGTTCTCCCACTCCCACGAAGGTAAGTCAGGTCCCGGGTTGCTGACAATACCCCAGGGCTTGTGGACCAACTGGTGAAGGCCTTGCTGGCAGGTTCTGCCTGGAGTGCTAGGGGCAGGAGGGCTGCCTCCCTACTGAGGAAGTCTCTCAAGGGAGGTGGTAATTGGTTGGAAATCGGGTGGCCCCAGTAGGCACTGGTTCTGGCCAGATGTGTGCTCCAGATGTTGGGCAGGGAGGATTCCGGGGAACTAAGGAAATATGGAGTGCAGCTGGGCCAGCCGGACGGGGCTGTGCCCTCCACCGTGGGCTGCCCCCCACCTCCCCAGACTCAAGCAGGCATGGGTTCCAGATGTGTCAGCCGGGAGGGGGAGGCAGGGAGAGCTGTCAGCAGGCAGAGACCATCGTTGCTCCCACCCCCCATGCCAGTCCTGCCCATGGCAGAGCTCCTCCCAGGCCACCACCCTTGCACTTGGCACGCTTTGGTGCCGCAGAAGTACCAAAGAAGTACTTGAGAAGGTTACTCTCAAGCATCATGGAACAGGATGGCTTCTAGAACCTCTCCTGGCCTCTTCCAGTCTAGGCTGTACCCTGCCCAGGTGTCTGAGGTTTGCTTTCCACTTTGGTTCTGTAACTTGGGAGGTGGCCCTGGGTCCCCCGCATCCCTGGCCTGGTCATTGCTCACGCTCACTTTGATTGTCCGTCCCCCGTGGCGCAGGAAGGGTTAACCCCCCCTCCCTGGCTGGCACGCGGGAGGTAATTGCAGTTGGCAGCGGGCACACAGAGCTCTCGCTCCTGGCACCAGGCACTGCCGTAACTCAATGACGGCTGCGCTCAGGCGTCCTGTTTACAGAGCGCAGTGGACCCACACACGGCGCACAGCCCGCCCGCCCCGCGGTCTAGGCAGAGAGATTAGCGCCCGGCACTGCTGGAAGCCTGAGAAACCTCTCTTTGTGCAACAAGAAGGGGCTGTTTTCCAAACGGGACAGGTGACAAGGGAGGGACAGTTGTCAGAGTAATCTGGGCTTTGGGCTCTGCCCAGAGCACACATGGATGGCCAGGCGATAAGAAGCCGTGATCTCCTGGGTGGACCAGGTCCTGAGGACCAAATAGGCAGAGTGGGGTCTTCAGCTCAGACCTACCCCTGCCCTCCTAGCAGAGTCCTGGGTTGACAGAGCTGGACCCTGGTAAGAGACTCCCTGGCCAGCTGTGGGTGGCCCCGGGCCCTGCAGGAAACACTCGCTCCCTGTTCTCCAACTGGCCTTTGTGTCTGCTGGCATCTCCCAGCTGGCCACAGCATCTGGCTCCCAGGAGGAAGGATGAGGGTGGCCGAGCAGGAGGAGCAAGCAATGGAGGCCACTCAAGACAGGGCTGTAGCCCTGGACTGACCACAGACAGGTGCACCCCTCGATCTGGGCCACCTGCCTTGATTTCTGTCCTTGTGACCACCATTGCCCCATCAGCGCCCAGGAATTTCGGTCCACCTCCTACTCAGTAGAGACACATGTGCCTGCTTCCTCTTCATCCCTCGCCAGGAGATACCACCAGCAAGAAGGGTGGTTTGTGGGTGGCACCACCTGCCCTAGAGCCCAGTCCTGTTCCTTATTGGGCCACTCACCCAAGAGGGTGGGTGGAGGATGCTGAGGGCACCCACAGCCATCTACTTCCCCGAAGATCAATGGTTGTCTGGTAGAGTTGCTTATAACCCTCCCTAGGTACCCTCAAACCTCAGAGCCCCAATGGGACCCAGCCTCTGTAGGTTCCGCTTTCATGTCCTAGCCCCAAGGATGCCCCCTGGTCTGGTGAAAGCCGGTGCTCGGGCAGTGTGCTGTGGAAACAGAGCCTTGGCTTCTGGGCGTCCCTACCATTCGCCCACCCTCTGCCCTACATCCTGCATTCAGGGCAGGAATAGGCGCCTGGCTGTGTCCCAAGGAGAAAGCTTTTGTCTCTGAGACCAGCTCCAAGGACAGTGGGAGTCTGTGCCCACTGCGGGGCACCCACTGTGGCAGGTGTGAATTGAAGTTCCCAGAGTCAGGTAGGGGAGGTCGAGCACGGGCGCACGCAGTACAAGAAGCAGGGTGTTCAGGGCTCCACACAGCACAGCCCAGGGCTCACTGGGGGCTGGAGACAGGTGTGCGGGGAGGCAGCCGTCCTGAAGTGAGCTGTGCATGCTTGCGACCTTCCGAGTTCCCCCTGAGTGGCAGCGAGTCCACATCTGTTTGGGAGTCCTGTGACAACCCGTTCTTCTCAGGCCCGTGCCTCAGGTTACCCCCTCCCCGCCCCCCTCCCCCCACGGGGGATCCCCTGTCTTCTACGTCTCCAGCCTCGCTCCCTGACAGACAGGTCACATGGTGCAGCCTGCTCTGTGCGGTAGAGGCCAGGGCGGGCGGGGCGGGAGCGAGTGGCAGGCTGGCTGGCTGCCCTGGCAGGGTGCCTGGCTGCTAGTCTGACGGGGTGCCAGCTGGCTCCACGTGCTAGGGCCTGTTTCTCGGCCATGTGTGTACAGGAGGGCGGGGGGCAAGGCGGGCAGGGGCCACGCGACACGGCCGAAGAATGGGGGCCATCCACAATGGGGGCTTCCTGGGCAGTAGGCCAGGAGGCCCAGCTTACCCTTGTCCTGCTTCCTTCAACCACCTCCTGGATGTGGAGATCCAGGGACTCTGCCTGGCCTGCTGCCTGGCCTGCTCCCTGCCCCCTCCCTGCCCTGCGCCTTCTCATGTCTAGGGCAGGTAGGCCAGGATAGGGCTGACAAGTAGCTCTTCCCGTGGGAGTTAGCCATAGGTGCCCTCCTACTCTTGACAGGGACTCTCAGACAGCTAGAACACCACCCCCCTCGCCATCTGCAAGGCAGCTGCTAGAGTGGGAGCCCGGGCTTCCTGTGTCCCTGGAACAGCTGGGGGTTCAAGGGATGCACCCTCGTGTTGGAGGAGCCGCCTAGGAACATCTGGCCCGGAGCAGGGCTTTCTTGCTGCGCCCCAGGCCTTCTGGGCCCCTTGGCTCACCCAAGATGATGGGCCTTGCCAGAAGTAGACCATCAGAGCCTTGGGGTAGGGTGGACAATAGAACTAGCCTGGGGCAGAGGTGAGTGGCTAACTGCCAACCTGGCCTGGGTGCATGGGGCTGGGTGTGGTGCGGCACAGCTGGCCCTATTGTCAGTGAGCCTGCACCCACCCCCACCAGCTGCCTGCTTAGGACCACCCACAGGGCAATGAAAGGGGATGCTGTTGCTAGGGGGTTGGCGAGGGGTACAGGAGCTCCAAACTCACTCGGCCCCGTTAGTCGTGGTCTCTTATGCCACCTGGAGGGGGAGCCATGGGCACACGTGCCAGCCCTGGCTGGCTGACTGCCTAGCCAACTTCTGTCAAAGCCACACCCACCCTGGTGGCCACTTCTCCATCCACGCCTGGCTGGATTCCACACACAGGAGCCACCACCAAGCGTATCCTGCTGCCCAGACCACACACACCCACATTTCTCCAGCTGCCTCTGTCTCCCTCAGTACCTTTTGAGGCCTCAAGACTTAGCACAGAGGTGAGCAGGGGCTGGAACATGTCCAACAGGAAGACAGGTCCTATCCGGCCCCCAGGCACATGGGTGGGCCAAAGGCTTCCGTGGCAATCAGACTCCATCCCCTGGAACTGCCCCCTGGTGGCTACCCTAACCCTTTTTCTTCAGACCCTGGGTGCTCTCTCTCCCTTTTTCATCTTCATGAAATGGACTCACCGAGTAGCTCTGGCTGGCCTAGAACTGTCTGTGAAGCCCATTCGTCTGGCCTAGAAAGTGTAGTGACCCCTTTGTGTCCTCCCCATTGCTGCTCTGTCGGCGTGAACCACCGCACCCTCAACCTCCACTTCCTCCCCTTGAAAAAGTTTTAAGACTATTTTGAATTTTTAATGACGTGTGTAAACGTGTTTCTGTGTGTGGGCATGCACACATGTGCGTGTAGCTACTCGTGAGTCCAGAAGAGGGCATTGGGTCTCCTGGAGCTAGGTTGTGGGTCCTTGTGAACCGCCAGAGGTGGGTGCTGGAATCAGAACTTGGTTCCTCCCCAGGAGCCATCCACACGCTTAGCCGCTGCCAACTATAAACCCTCTCTGCACCTGCTGCCTCTATAAATGAAATACCCCTGCACCTCGGCCCTTCCTCTCTGGTCCTCTGCCTCAGTCTCTGTTCCCCAAATCTCACAGTGTCCCTACCCTGTCCACAGGAGCTGCTGAGCTAGTTGGGAAAATCTGGCCACCCTAAGATTTGGGGGACATCATGGACCCTGCCGTGGGGATCAGAGTGTCCCATGGGTTAGGCTACCTCCAGCCGCCTCATTGCAGAGACGGAAGCAGCTACAGGGTCTCAGGGTTTCACCTCAGGGTGTCACAGCCTTGAGAGCCGCGTTAGCCTTAGGTTTGGACACTTGGCTTAGAGACTCCGAGTCTGTTTTCTTCATCTATAAACCATGCTGAGTAACACAGCTGCTTGGACACAGAACGACTCAGGATCAGTACTTCAGAGAGTAGCTCCTACTCCCTGCACCCTTTCTCAGAGACATACTGGGGGCAGCAGGATGGGCAGTGGCTGTGGTCTTTGGGTCTGACCTGGGCAAAAGCTGTTGCCATCCAGGTGCACCTGCTCACTGGAATCCCAGGCACAGTGGACCCCCTGGGAGTGCTTCAGAAGGTGTGGGGGACAGAACTGTCATTCTACATGCCAGAAAGGTGTTGGGGCCACATCCAGGAAACTCCGGCTTTAGGCTTTTCCCATCATCGGTTGATTTCCAAAACCAGCCCTATAATTCTGCCCGCTGGCCAGTGCCAAGCTCCTCCTTGTGATGTGGAGGACTGTCCTCTGGATCCAGGGCAGACTGCCCATGGGAGCCTGGTTCCTTGGGCTCATAGTTATTCCTCTCAGCCCCGGGAACATGGAGACTGCAGGGCCTTGTTCCCTGCAGTTATGGGTCAACACTCTGCAGGCCGTAGGGAGAAGGCTTTGCTGAAGGCTGCCGTTCTAACCTCCAACCACTTGGGTGGTCAGTCCTGGGAGCTTCACTTTGAATTTCTGGCCTCGATGGAGTCCGACCAGCTAGCGTGAAGAGACCCTGAAGCAGGGGCATTTGGCAGGGAGAACCTGGGTTGTTGCTAGGTTACTCCCTTCAGCCACTAAAGCGGAGATGGCAAGCATCCTGTGGACTGGCTGCCACATCCTGCCTGTTCCCAGGGCAGACATTACTAGTCAATTAAGCGGCATGAGAATCTAGCTGTAGGATTCTTAGCCCAGCACTCTGGTTTGTCTGAATAGACGGCAGTGGAAATTACTGGCTGTAAGTAGACGGGAAAGGACTCCAGGTTCCTGTTGAGTATGACAGCATCCTAAGGAACGGCAGACGCTGCCAGGTCCCATGTTGGTGGAGGCTTGCAGCCAGCTGAGGACCTTCTGAGCCCCCACCGCCTAGCTGCCCTTTTACCTGCCTGTCCTGCCATCTTTTGAATGCCGTTTCTGGATGACCTTACTGGCGCCCATCTTTTCTTTTTCTGCCTGTTGATCAGTTATTCCCCCTCCCCTTCACCATCATCAGGGCCTTTGGTAGCTGTGGTCGTGGCAGGGCTTCCCCTTCCCCAAGTCAACTAGGAGTTCCCAGGAAGCAGGTGGCCTCAGATGTGCCATGTGGTCAGATCTCACGATCACTGGAGCAATCCACCTTCAGATGGGCAGAGTCCTGGGAAAAGGGAGGCCCTGGGGTCTGGACCTAGTGGTCAGAAGAGTGAGTTCTCTCCGCCCCGGAGTCTTCTCCCTGATGCTGCAGGCCACTCCTACCAGGATACCCCCTAGATCTTTCCTTCCCAGGCCTGGTCTCCTTGGTCTTTGGGGATGCCTATCTCCCAGCCTTGGCTTCGGGTCTCAGTAGCCGTGATTCGGAAGTCATTTTCTCTTCTCCTCTCGGGAGTACTGTGCCAGGGAGAATAAAGAGGCCTTTTGATTGCTGCCTACGAGGACCCCCCTTTGCCCCTCTCTTGCCCCCGCTATTCTTTCTCTTCTCAGTTCCCCGTTTGAGGCCTGGGAGACGAAGAACCTCCGTGCCTTGGAATGGCTGGTAGACTTCAGCCCCGCTCCCTGGACGGCAGGCAGCCCTTTTCGCAGCACCCAAAGTGCCGTGGGTGGGAAGGGAGTACTCTTACTCAGTTAGCCAAGTGTCCATTGCCCCCAGAGAGCAGGAAGAGGCCCAGGCCTCCTCAGGGAGTACGGGGGCGGGGGCGGGGGGTAGGGGGGTGTCTGAGCCTGGAAACATTGTCTGGGAAGGAGGAATTTTACAGACTTCTGTTTACCAAAAAAAAAAAAAAAAAAAAAACCCGAGGCCCGTAAAACATTTAACAGCAGCCAATTACAGGGGACAGCTGCAGTGGTTTACCCCCCCAGGCCCCAGCCCCCCTGCCCAGCTGCTCCCACCCAGGCCTCTTAGCTTTTGTCAAGTCTTCCAGGAGCTGGGTGTAATCTGGCTAACATCTGCTGCAGATGTGTCCACACACACCAGGCCAGCGGGGCAGGTCTTGCAGTTCCAGCTTGCTCTTCAGCAAGAGGGGAGCAGGCCTGGCCGTGGGCACCGTCTCCAAGTCTCCAAGTAACTTCGGTGTGGTCTGAGGGGATGCTCTCATCTGAGAGATGGCGCTACACCTGAGGGCAGGTTTCCACATCACAGAAATCCGAGTCTTCACACGTTCCCCCGCCTTGTGACTCAGATGGACGACTGCAGGGTCAGGCGGGCCAGACAGGGCTCTTCCTACGTGGGGCACCCAAGAGCCGCCGAACTGGAGACTCCCACAGTGTCGTTGGTCAGGCTTCTGAGTGGTGACCCCATGGGAGTAGGGTGTACAGTGTGTGGCCTCTGCCCGGGACTTATGTGTGTAATTGTTGACCCCCTCTGAGTCCTTGGTCTGAGCTGGGTGTCAAGGATGCTCCAGAGATGCCTGGCCCCATGACACAGAGACCTCTACTTCAGCATTCAAGCAGATCAGCTTTTGGAGAGCATTCAAGCAGATCAGCTTTTGGAGACGCAGGACAGGACAGACTTGGCCAGGTAGCACTCACATAGTTCCGGCCGGCTCTGCTTCTCACGGGTTTCACCTCATTCTCCCAACCCCTCAGCCATGCGGGTTCAGCCTCAGCAGCCTGGGATTTCTGTGGTGAAGGAGCCGGGGTGGCCAAGTGTAGCCAGGCTGAGGGAAGTTGGGCTGCGACTCTTGCTGTGACCTCGCTGTGATTCTGAGAGTCCTGGTGCCTGGCCACACGGACACCTCCAGAGCAGCACACACCTGGCTGCTTCTGTTGCAGTTTCTTCTGTAGTTTGGAGAAATGCCTGCCTACCCGGCAAAGCATCTCTGAGTTGACCCTCCAAGTCTCCCAGTTCACCCTGGGTGGCCTCTGCCTAATGCTCACAACAGACCCCAGGGCGCCCCAACCCCGTGTACCCACAGCTGGCCTTTAGATTCATCCCGAGTCGACCAGCGGCCTTGGCGCTGAGTTCGTGCAGTCCCTTGTAGGGATAGCTTCAGTCTGATCCAGTCACCCCGTTTAACAGAGAAGGCCAGCTGCCTGAGCCAGCAGCCAGGCTGGGGGAGACGGTAAGTTCCCCTCCCCACATCTTAGCAGCTGTCTTGGTGACAGCAGTGGGTAGGGTCAGTAGCTGCTAGCAGCCAAGACTCTTTTGGTGGGTTTGATGGCGGTCCAGGTCCCCAGGCTCCTGCCAGGCTTGATGGGAGGGATCAGCCAAGAAGCTGTAATCCTCGGGGCTTGGTGGCACTGAGTCTCCAGTTCTGAACCCCTAAGAGGAGCCTGTGCAATGCAGCAGCTCTTTTCCTTTTTAAAAATGTTTTAGATGTGCTGATTTACCTTATTTTACATGTGTGAGTATTTTGCTTGCATGTATATCTGTGCCATATGTTTGACTGGTACCCACTGAGATCAGATATCCGGTTCCCTTGTCATGGAGTTATGGGAGGTTGTGAACCACTCTGTGGATTCTGGGACTTGAACCCAGGTCCTCTGCAAGAACAACCAGTGTCCTTAACACTGAGACATCTCTCCAGCTCCCAGTGATGTAGCTTTTGAGGTCCTTCCCAAGGCTTGCTGTCAGGGCCCAGACATCTTTCTTGCAAGCTAGGACCTCATGGGTCAGGGAAAAGGAACACTGTTCCAGGTGACAAGGGCTTCTGTAGGCCCAAGGTCAGCAGGCTGGGATTGGCTCTAGGCTGTGGTTAGCTTGACTATGCCAGGTAGGTACAGCCCTTCAGAACTTAGGCTGCCTCTGAGGTACAGACAAGGGGCGTACTTAGTACTTGTACTTAGTACTTGCCAGGTAGGAGTTGGGGCTAAGGCCTTGTACACCATGTAGCATGCCAGGGGCTTTGCAGACGGGAGCATAAGATGCTGGGTTCCCATAGAGAGGCCAGTTGGGGGGAGAAATCCGTGGCTTCCAACAAGTGGGAACTAGCCACATCCTAGCTTCAGCTACCTAAGAGTGTGAGTCACCCAGACCAGCTGTGGCAGAGCGCAGCTCTTCCGAGACCATCTGCTTCCCTGGGTGCCTGCGGAGGGTGCAGGCTGGAGGCCCTGTCTGGTTTGGCTCTTCCTTGTCTGAGAACTCACGGAGAGTCCATATTGCCCCTTTGTTGCCTGGCCTGCAAGCTCCTGCCACACCAAGTACTGCTGGGAGGGAATCAAAGGCAGCCTCCCCTTTCTCCAGCCCCTAGCCCATCAGCAATTCAATTTGTGCTGCACCGGAGGGATGGTATTAGTCGAGTCAGAGTTAATATGATGTATTGATGGGTTGATTTCCCACCGGCGGGCTGTGAGCAGACTCTGTGGGGTGTTGCTCCTGGGCTGCCTGCCTGCCTCTTGCCTCCTTAGGGTCAGGGTGGCGAGGGCCAGGGAGCTGAGAGTTGTCCCTGCAACCACTGCTTTGCTTCCCTAGCTCCTGCGTACCCCAGATTTTCGGGGAGTCTGGCATCTACCTTCCTACCCGTGAGCCACTTGGATCACCATGGAAACAGCAATGTTCTCTATGGGCAACATCGTTTCTATGGAACCCAAAAAGGCAAGTGCTGTGGGGTGCAGTGCATGCTGAGGGTGAGCTTAAGGGGTACCAGCGAAAGCAGCAGACTGGGTGAGCCCTCCTCCCCGGGCTCAGTGGGGCCCAGAGGAGGATGGCCTGGCACCACTGCCAGGTGAGGCGCTCAGTGGGGGACAAGCTCACATCACTTGCACTTAGGACCGAGGATCAGGGCAGGAGTGTTCTTGGGGGGAGTCCTGACTTTACTCTCAGGCCTGAGCCAGTTCTAGACTGCCAGGAGCCCCTGCTCTAGCCCTGTCCCATGATTCCTCAGGCAGACATTGTTGGAGCAGTGATTTAACGCCCACCTGGCTAGAGGTGCTGTGTGGGGGTGGGGAACACCAGAGCTTTCAGTCCCTGTCCCTAAATGGAGGTGTTTTGGTTTTGAGGGGATGTTTGTATTTTGGGACATTTTTCTACGATGTGGCTAAACCCAGGGCTGGCATTGGGTTAGTGGCCACACTTCCGTTTCAGGTGGCCCCAAGGTGAGAGAAGACGCAAACCCAGACATAGAGTCCTGTAAGGCTAGAGTTAGTGATGCTAGGAGACGAGGCGTATATTCCTGATGAGCTTAGTTTGCTGCCCAGGCTAGGGGGGGACCCCTTGAGTAAGTACAGCTTGGGTAGGTAAGCCCAGCTTAGAATTGGGGCTAGGGTCCTTCCGGGGGTGCTGCATGTAGGTAGTCCCCATGTAACAAGGCGCTGGAGTGCAGAAGGTGGAGAGAGAGAGGCCGGGCGGTTTCCACACATCCCTAGGGAACCCCACTTGGGGTGGAAGACACTGCCCTCTCTTTGCCAGTAGCCATTAGGAACTGAGATACCAGCAGAGTGCAGGGTGCCTTTGGGCGGCCCTCCTGGACCAGGAAGGTGAACTAATGACCTCAGAGCGTCTGGCATATCTGGATCCTTGGGTGGTTTTGCACATTTGAACACGGAGGAGTCTTAAGAGTCTCTGAAGCTCAGAATAGCCTTGGTCTTGCTGAGACCGTGCTTAGCTGTGAATGGCGGCGCAGGCTGCCCTGCCTGGGGTGTGGCCAGGAAGCCTACCCCAAGCCCCACTTGGGGGTCTGATTTCATCCTAGACAGCCCTGTCACATGCTCCCGGGAACCAGGCTTGTGGGCTGGATCCACCAAGCCCTTAGTCACACACACCACCCCCATGCCTGCAGCTGTTTTGACAGCATCTGTCAAGGGTGGGCAGGTGGCTAGGCTAAGCCCTAGAAACCAGACTGGTGAACCTGGGCCCAGGGACTCCCTCTGGGCGGTGGGGCCGACTGGTGTCTTGGCGGCTGCCGGCCAGGCCTCTCCGCTTTCACAATATTGTGGTGGAGCTTCATCCAAGAACATTATTTGGTTTTGGAAATTGAGCTAATTAGGTTTCTCCTGGGCTACCCCTTCCCTTCTCCCCTTCCCCCTTGTTTCTAATTAGAGGAAATTGACAAGGAATTTACATGACTGAAGACAGTTTTACAAGTTGCAAACGTTTTTTCTTTTGTTTCCCCTGCTTCATGCTCTCCCTTAGCTAGGGCCCTGGCCCTGCTGCCCACCCTCCCGACCAGGGAAAGGCAGGGCTGCTCCTTGGGTCTTCCGGAGACTGGATGTGGCTCTAGCTTGGCGGGCCAAGAGTGGGTATCCCAGGGCTTACTGATGACAACCTGGAGCTGACCCAACCTGGGCAGGAAGGGTTTGCCCCAGATCATGGCTGGACTACAGGGGGAGGAGCTACTATCCACAAGCTGGGTGACCCAGAACTGCGGGTGTGTGTGTGTGTGTG